ATATATATATGTTATCAAATACAGTACTCAGAACTTATTTAAACCTTCCAGATCAAAACATTCAATCTTCTAGAAGATATATTTTAGAAAAGCAAATACACCCTAAGATAAGTTCTCTCCTTCTCTATTTTAATTCATTATTTTTTTATTTTATGATTTGTTTTTGTAATTTAGGAAATTTAATTCGACATTCATGGCTTTAAAGATCTAATATTTGTGAAATTTATAGTTGACATTGTCAGTAGATTCAGAAAGGGTCAAATCTTTTAGATATGTATCAATTTTGGATATATAATTCGTTTGGCCCCATATTTTCTACTGATCTATCAATTCTAACTTATTTGCTTGAACTTGAAGACATCTTATTGGAGATCTATTTAGATTTGCGCATAAACACAGATTTGCTTATATTGGCTTAGTAAACATGATTTTGACAAATTTTAAATAAATTTTATATTTTAATATATTCTACTAATTTTTCTCACTATGTATAAAATATTGGTCCAACTAAATTAAACTATAGTCGGATGGATCTTGACTGGACTAAACCCCTAATCCATTTGGAAGCCAAGCTGGATTAATTTTGAAGGAACTGATCCGAGCCGTTCATAAAACTTGATTAACAAAAGTCATCTTGGTTAATTAGAAATGATAAAAGTAAATACCGTTACCTTGGTTGATTGAGAATAAATACTCATGAAAGGAAAAACGACCTTTTCAGATGGGAAAATGTGCTCTGAGGTGCTGATCATAATTATGGCTTAAAAGGGCACTACTCCCTTTTTTCGATTTATGTGAGAAGCAGTTCCTATAAAAAACAGTAAAAGATTCATTTCCAAATCGACCCTCACAAGCAAACCATGTGACCACATAATATTGATGGAGAAAGACGACCTTTCCCTTCGCTTTTAAGCAAAGACTACTTTTTTTTGCCACCTTTCACAAGCTATTTTTTTTCTTTATATATATATATATACATTTTCATTCCTACCAATGTTAACCACTTTCGAAAACTATAATAGTTTCAAAAATCGCTAACCACCTACTACTAACAGTTAACGATTTAATTTTTTTTTAAAAAAATACATGACTGGTTTGGAATTAAAAATGGGTAATAGCTAGAAATAGGTAAATAAATTACTAAGCGTCCCATTTGGTAGGGTGAACGTAACACTTCAACACGTCTCCAAATTGGAGTTCTGTTGGCGATTATCCACATTTTTTTACATAAAAATAACGTACTATAAAAATCAAGGGCCGACCATTTAGAGATCAGAGCTGAGCTAGGCCCAGCACATTGGCAGCCCTACTCCAATATGTTGGGGGTCGATCGATGCTAATAGGAATAACACTAAAACAAAATAACGACCATACTCGAAAATCTAAATTTAAGATTCTCTTTCCAGGTAGTTGAAGAGAATTTTTAGAAAATACATATAAAAGGGATGCGTCAGTTTCTTGGGTTGGTACATGCCTCTAGACTTGACTTTGTTCTCTTTACAAAGTCTATTGTTCTCTTTACACAACAAAGACAATAACAAAATAACCGGCCTCCTTTGTTCTCTTTACAAAACCAAAACGAAATCAAGTAGTGATGCCCCCAAGATTACTGGCAGTTGGTCAGGTCCGGCTTAAAATTGTCACAAAATATGGCCCAAGGGCTAGGTCATCACGATGGCCAGAGCTATAAATCGGCCATTGCCCTAGCCCTTCTTTTCCCTTATTTTTTCTTTTTCTTTTTTGTAATTATATTAGGCTTGGCCTAGCCAGGATAGAGGGGGAGTCAGGATAGAGGAGGAGGGGGAGGGGGAGGGGGAGGGGGAGGGGGAGGGGATGGGGGTGGGGGCGGGATTATTGATCTAGGCACAGGCCAAGGTCTTTTGGGAGGGGTCTAAGCCTATAAGAATCAAACTGAGGCAACTACAGGATTGTTTTTTTCTTTTTTGAAACATTACGTGGGATTCATTAAGACAATGAAGAATACAAGTACAACGATCAAAAAAGATAAAATAAAACAATCAGGAAAAGGGAAAATCACATAAAAACTAAGACGATGTTGCCTGCTTTGTTAGAAGATCTGCATTCGAATTGAAGCTACGACGACCATAAACAAAGCTAATTTCACTTCCATGCAGAAGAAGGATAATTGCATCCATTATGGGACTCAATCTTCAGGGAGTAAAATCCGTTTATAAACCCCACTTGATCACATTAGCTGAATCTCCTTCAATAATCACCCTCTACAGCTTAGGAGAGAGTCTCGAAGCTCCCATCTTCAAGGTCCAAAATTTAGCCTCATTAATTTCACATTCATGCATCTTTCCTTAGTAAGACCAGAGGGTCCCTCTTTCATTATTCCTTAGTAAACCCTCATAACTTGTATAAGCAGATGTCTTCGAACATTGCCATCGAAATTAAACTTAAACCACCCAATGGGCGGTTTGGCCCACACATTGGTTTTTCGAGGATGATGCTCCTTTAAGCTCAAGAGCTCAGGAAAGTGAGAGAAGAAAATTTCTATGCGTACTATTTAAGAGGGAGGGCAGCCTAAACCCAAGTCACCATCGAATGCCTAATAGCCCGGCACAAACTGGGAACATCCCGACCATTGCCTTCAAAGGTTCTAAGTTTACACTCCTCCCATAAATTCTAGAACGCTGCAGCCAAAAGAATTCTCCACAAAGTGATTCCTACAGAAAAAAAACATCAAGGACCAAAACTATAGTAGCTTGAAAAAATCCTCGGGATGAAGCCGGCACCAATCCAGCCCTAGAATTTTTCAGCACATGAACAATGGATAAAAATATGATCAATAGGATCTTCATCGTTCGAGAGCTAGACACCTTTCACGGACGACAAGCAACCGTGAAGACTTGAGCGTAATGGACAAACCTCAATCACTTAAGAGTTACTCCCCTTATTCAGTTTTCACGCTCCCGCGGGAGCATACCAATTTATTATCACCAATAAATAAATACGGACAAATTTTTGGGTATTATCGTACAAACGTATTCTCGCACTCACGATAAAGAGTGATGCTCTTCCGAACGAATCAGCACGGAGAGCCATGGGGATTACATGTTTCAGAGTCGTGTTTTAGGGTTAGGGTTTGTAAATCGCACACAGGCTCTGCATGAAAGTATTCTTAGTTATATAGTTGTTGTGAATTGGGGTTTGGTGAGACATCGTCATGTTGAGTGAGAACTGGAGGGCTCATGCAGCTCTGGCCTTGGTCCAGTTCAACTATGGAGCTTACCATGTTATAACGAAGCTGGCCCTTAATGTTGGGATGAACCAGGTGGTGTTTTGCGTGCTCAGAGACCTTATTGCTCTCTCGCTTCTAGCTCCGGCTGCCTATTTCCGGGAAAAGTGCGATTTCGTTCCAGGTTTCTGCTACTTTGGTTCTTGTTTTTCGGTCCTTGGTTTTCATGTCTTGTTTTGTTATTTAATTTTTTTTGGGATTGGGCCTTTGATTGATGTGGTATAGATGATTTCTGGTTTTCTTTTTGATATCCCACTGTTTCATTGATTATGTAAAATTTACAAGATTGTGTCTTGTCCCCAGAGCGACTGTTTCATTCATTATGTAAAATTTACAAAATTATGTCTTATCCCCAGAGAGAGGAGTTACAAAAATTTCATCAAAAAATTCCTATTGATGAATATGGTCTGATTAATATGGTATTGATGAAATCTTATTTATTTTTTAATTGAGGGGTTTTATTTGGTAGAATTTATAGTTTCTCATCTTTAGGATCATTGTTTGGTTCATTTTTCTTATTGATCACATTGATGCTGTTTAGTTGAAGTGTGGTTTTTGATCATCGAGCTCTTCCAGAATGATAATTGAGCTATTTTTTGGGACTTAAGTTTTCTGATAGTGATTACCTTCAAGTGAGCTGCATGATTTGGATATAATTCCTGTGTACCTTCCAACCGTAGCCACTTTTGATTATTCTTCTAAACTTTGAGGTCGCTAAAATGCATTACTGAATGATCCAATTGTTATAGCCATTGACTCCCTTGACTTTTCAAGTCCTTGGGAAACTTCCAGTGCATGTTTAACTCTTTTTGCTGATGGGCTCTTACTATGCCCTTTTTAGTTAATGAGTGGCCTTGTGCCAACAAGCCAGTTTCAAGCTGAATCTGCAAATTTATTCCCCTTAAAAAAAAAAAATTTTGAGCTTTCAAATAAACACTACTGTAGCTGTACTTAGTTATCATAAAATGAATATGAAGTGCCAATATTTTCTTAAAAAATTGCTACGGGTACCTGGGCAGCCAGGGGTGTCTAACCACCTGGGCTCTAGGCAGGCACCTCGGTTTTGAGGCCCCCCACATGCCTATATGCAAAAAAATGTGCACATAGATTTGGGTTTGAAGAACCAAAATCCACAAGTTTTGTTGGTTTCGTGTTCTACTGCCTACTTTTTTGCGGTTTAGAAGGATTATTCTCCTATGAATGATACCTTTACTGATAAGAAAATCTATTAAAATTGGAAGAGACATTGTTCGAAACTTCGGCTGCTTGGCCACCTAGGCAGCTGGAGGCCAAAACGCCCAAGCGTCCCCCTAGGCGGGCAAGGTGGTCACCTCACGGTTGGCGCCTAGGAGCAACTTGGCCGAGGGAGAAAACAGGCCCTTGGCCAAGGGCAAAAAACATAACTTCCCCCCAAAAACGGGGGGGAAAGGGTTTTAGGGGACAAATCCAGCCCCCCCAACCCATATGCGCCAGGTGCCACCCCCCAAAAAAAAGAGGGTAAACCTCCTTAAAAAAAAGAAGTTAAGGTGTATAAAAATGGCTAAGGGCTCAAGGCCCTTGTCATTCGCTCACTGGCCCGTGTCCTCTCTACGTATAAGAAGAAGAGGAAAAAGAAGATGCCCTCCAATTGTTAGATGCAAGGCCTCTCTCTTTCACACGCAGTCATGCACATACACAAACACACACATGGACCTATATGCTCTTGCTCTATATATAAAAAGAAGAGAAAGAGGAAGATGACTTCCAAGTGCTCGATGTGAGGCCTTCCCTCTCATGGACTCATATTCTATCTCTCTCTACTTATAAAAAGAAGAAAAAGAAGAACATATTCTCCGAATGTTTGATGTGAGACCTTTCTCTCACACAAGCAGGCCCATATACTCTCTTTAATACGCACACACACAGAAATAGATGCTAACACACCCCCCCCTTCCCCAAAAAAAAAAAACAAAAGTTGTTTCAGGGCACCTGCCTAGTGGCTGCCTCAGTGTTTTTGAACATTGGGAAGATAGAAACTTTGCTGAATTCTATTGTTGTTTTTAATATATTCCAATAATTTGTGGTGCTATGTTTCCACAGCTTGCAATCTTGTTCTTTTCTTTGTCCTTGTAACAAAGATGTTAGATATGATGGTTCATAAATACTCCCCATTTGCCATAAAGATCACAACTCAACACCAATAATTTAGGTTAGTTCAGGGAAACGAAAATACCCTAGTATAGTATGAATATGATTGTAAGATGTGAAGGAGATCAGATCTTGCCAAAAACTGAACGGAACTTCGCCTAATCCTGACTAAATAGCTTCCAAACAAGCATGAACTTTCCTCAAAACTCTCAAGTCAAACAGAGGTCATCTGACGCGATATTATTTATTTAAATCACAATATTTTTAAAATCCACAATTTTGTTCTTTTTTATTTATTTGAAGAACCTTAAAACAAGTTTAGGGGGGGTTATAATACCCCCTCGATCCTTTGTACTCCTGAAAATCAGGAAAATGACAAAAATACCACTTGCCATGGTGGATTCCACCTTCGGTCAATGGGTGACCAAGTCAGGTGCCTGGGCACCTGCCCAGGGAAGGCCACCTAAGCCTAGGCTGTGCACTCTGGTTCTCTAGGAGGGCCAAGGAGGCCACCTAGGCACTAGGCAGGCTGTCTTTTCAAACAATAGTGCCAAATGCCATTTCTTGCTTTCATTTCCCTTTCTAACACTGAAATTCTATTATTTATATTTGAATGGTTGATGCTTTTATGCATTGTCTTCAGTTGGACCATTTTACCTTCGCACCTAAATTTTACTGAAACCACCTTGCGTTATATGCTTGAGTTTGGTGGTTAATGAACTGTTGGTTACATGATCAATTATTTGTATTTGAAGTGGCAAACCGGATTACCCTTGTGGTAACTCTGTTGACAATTAACTCGGCTGGCCTTTTGGATGTTGCTCTGTTCACGATAATTTTTATTTATAACTAACAGGAATTATAGGGAACTAGGAGTAGGGTTCTGTGTAAGAGAGAATGTTGTTTGGTCATAGGGATCACCTTGTATGACACGACAATTGCTAGTTTTAGAATGGGAGTGCTACTTCAGTTGCTAAGTTATTATATGGTTATAAATTATTATACAAATTCATCACTCTGAAATTCATGTGCTGATATTTTGGATATATCATTATGGTTTTGTCTTAAACTGACTAAATTGTTCCAAGTACTCCAATCACGATGAATGATAAGGACTTAATGCACAAAGTCAGATTTCATTGGATAAGCGGTTCCATGTGGCATTGTTTGTAAAAGCAGAAAGCTGTGTTTTAAATGTTTTCAAGGTCAACCGAATACTGAAGGCTTTTATGCCACAGAGTGAATAATTATTGGTTGAGAAAAATTTTCTTTTGAGAACATGTGAACATTATACCGTGCATGTAGGCCTTTTGTTTGGCATGACTGAGCCACTGGAGCTTGGTTTCCTTGGAAAACTTGGTTGAACTGCCCGGGCAAATTATTCTGGAAGGCGCACAGTAGGTGCATATCGACGGTTGGGCTATGAGGTTTTCTCTTGAAATTCACATCTGGGCATAAAGTTGTTTCATGCCCAAACTCTTCTTGAGGTTGAAATTCAGGGTTTATATGCACTGTTCATGAATTCAATATGTGCTTTTCCAGTAGCAGTATCCATAGGGGTTTAAATACATGCACACATTTTGAAATGGTTTTATTTTTATTTCTTATTATTTATTTATTTTTATTTTTGAATTTATTTCCAAATGGGTTGTTATCATCCTTACCTTCACATATGAGGTGACTAGGATATTCTTATGTTTCCTAAGAATCTGAAGCATCTATGATGAATACATAATTTAAGTGCTTGCCAAGTTTGAGTACTGGTTTCGTTAGTCATGTATGCAGTTTGTTGCATATCGAGATAATAAGACAAATCACGGTGATCCTTTCATCTGTGCAGAAGAATACGACCACCAATATCGCGCAGTCACCTTGTGGCATTCTTCTTTCTAGGCCTAACAGGGTAACGAAACAAAAACTTGTATAGTATTACATAAGAAACATTATGATTGATCGATCCACTATCATGTCAAAATTTTTTTGATAAGTGATGTTTAAAATTGGACTGATCAGGATATTTGGCAACCAGCTGTTATTTCTTATTGGCCTTAGCTACACAAGTCCTGCATATGCTGCAGCAGTACAACCTGCCATTCCAGTGTTTACATTCATCTTGGCTGTGCTAATGAGGTAAGAGGTTTGCCTAATTTGCTGCTTTTATATACTATGATTGGATTGGTTTCTTTTGTCTTCTTTCCAATTGCTACTCGTCCTGAAATGCATCTCACATCATTCTGTTATATTTTCTCCATGCAGAACCGAAGCATTGAATTTGCTCAGAACTGAGGGCAAAGTGAAGGTTGCAGGCACACTTATTTGTGTTTTTGGTGCTGTTTTGATGGGATCATTCAGAGGTCCAGCTGTCTTTGGTAACGGGTATATGGACCTTGCAGCTGAAAGTGAGATAAGTGCCAAGCCTCAACCAGAGCCTGTTGGATGGTTGGCACCTTCGGTACTGGAATTAGGTTTTGAAAGATGGCACATTGGTGTCTTGTGCCTGATCGGAAACTGCATATGCATGTCCCTCTACTTAGCTTTACTGGTTAGTGTCAGAGTTTTTTGGCTTGAAGAGAATAAGGCACCTTTTTTATCATTAAAAAATATATCAAGCCACCTTATTGAAGGGATTGCTTGAAATAGAATTGTTTTTACTAAGTTTTGACCATGTTTACATATGTAGGACTTCTTTGGATGTTCTCATTTTCATTGCTAATTCACAGTTTCGATAAAATTAATCCTGATAATGAGTTATTTGTCGTTTGGTAGTGTCCCTCACAAAATTATCTGAGATAAACTTATTGGTAATTTTACATATGATTTTATTGTTTTGGAAAGCTGTTTCTACTTTATTCAAAGTAAATTGCTAAAAAGTGCATGTTTTGGGTTGGAAATAACTAAAAATAGCTGAAAATTGGCGAAAAGTTAAATTATCAAATAATATTATATATAGTAAACAGCTAAGAAAATAATATTATGTAGAGTATATTAATTTCAGATAAGATAGTCTGCTGCCTACTCATAATATGATTAACTGTCATCCAAACAGGCCTGTAGTGATTATATTGGAATTGGATGAAGTGCCAGAAAATGTTGCCTTAGTGGGATTAGTTGGGCAAACACAACAACTGTGCTTTCTGTTCTTGAGCTGGTTACTGGGTTACCCTTCAGCCGTTCTCCTCAAATTGTATGGCTGATAAATCTGCCATAAATACATGTCACACTTCTGTGAAAATCATGACCTGCAATGGGATGATTTTCATTACATAACTCCATAGACTCCGAAAATATTATGCATCTTTCTTTATAAAGGGGGATGACCATTTAATAACTTGCAAAAGTGGATCATATAAAATCTAGATAAACTTTTTTCTAGTTTGAAGGTAGAACGACCATCATGTAAAAACTATAAAATTATCCCAGGAGAGAGTTCGTCTACGCAACATAGACTCATGGTTATAGTTTTTTACATAAAGAGATGGAAGAGGAATGGAATCAATAGGTATCCAATAACTAGGTGGTGGAATTTAGAAAGGGAGAAAATAGACTTATTTTAGTTAACACATTAAAAAAACGACTTATTTAGAAATAAATTGATAAAATGGAGAAAAATAGACTTGTATAGAAATTTAAAAAGGAAGAAAATAGACTTATTTAAGAATAAATTGATAAAAGAAAGAAAGAGGAATTCTGAGGACAAGATTAATGTTATGTAGAATGAATGGCTGATTGAATTAAGAAAATGGCAAAATAAGTTTTACGAGAATCTAGAGGGAAAAGACATTCTAATAAGAAAACTTGGTGGTGGAATGATGAGGTTCAAAATGCTATTAGCAAAAAGATGTTCATGTTACAAAGCTCGACAATAGATAGAAATGATCAAAACTTAGAAGAATATAAAAATACCAAGAAGAATGCTAGGAAAAATAATAATTAAGGCTAAGCTTGAGGCACTTGATGAAGGTGAAAAAGATCTCTTTAAACTAGCAAAAATGAAAGAGAGGAAGTGTAGGGATCTAGATAATGTTAAATTCGCTAAGAGTGAGGATCATAGGGTCTTGTTGAAGGATGCTGAGGTCAATGAAAGGTGTAGAATTTATTTTCAAAAATTGTTGAATGACGACCTATGGGAGCATAGTGTTAGAAAGAACCTTTGACATTAATGTGGTCGGAGGTCATAGATACATTCATAAGATTATGATATTTGAAGTGAAACAAGCTTTGATAAAGTGAAGATAGAAGACTTTAGCCCCATATGGTTTACCAATAGAGGTTTGGCAGTTCATGGGAGAGATTGACATATTCTGGTTGACCAAGTTGTTCAACAAGATTTTGAGAACAAAAAAATGCCAAGCGAATGAAGAAAAGTTATGTGGTACCATTTACAAAAACAAAGGAGACATACATAATTATACAAACTATCGAGGGATCAAACTTATAAGCCACACTATGAAACTGTGACAGAGAGTGATTGAGCAACGAATATGACTACGACATGAAGCGAGTGTTTCAAAAAATTAGTTCGGTTTTATGCCAGGGAGGTCAACTATTGAGGCTATTTCCTACGTAGGCAATTCATTGAGAAGTCGAAGGAGAACAGAAAGACCTCTACTTGGTCTTTATTGATTTAGCGAAAGCATACGACAAGGTACCTAGAGAGTCAATATGGTAGGTGTTGGAAAATAAATAAGTCTCTAAGGGATATGTTGACATGGTGAGGGATATGAGGGACTGCTAAGTAGTGTGTGGACAACTAACAGAGAGACAAGTTGGTTTCTAGTGATAGTAGACCCACATTAGGGGTCAGTGTTAGTCTATATTTCTTTGCTTTGGTTATGGACAATTTCACTAGGCATTTATAGGATGAGGTACAATGGTGTATGTTGTTTGTAGCTGACATAACTTTGATTGATGAGACTAGAAACGACATCAATGCAAAATTGGAACTTTGGAGTGATGCTCTAGAATCTAAAGGTTTTAAAATTTGCCAGACTAAGATAAATATATAGAATTCAAGTTTACTAATAATAGGAGAATAAACGATGAATTAGTTAAGATTGATGACCAAGAAGTATCGAAAGGAGATTATTTTTGATATCTTGGGTCGATGATCTATGTCGATGGAGAGATTGAGGAAGATGTCACACATAGAATTAAAGCTGGGTGGACAAAGTAGAAATGCGCTTCTAGAGTCTTATGTGACCGTCTCATACTAATGAAATTACATGGAAAGTTCTATAGGACGTTGTAAGATCAGCCATGCTTTATGAGACGTAATGTTGAGTGGTTGAGAAAGAACATATCCATAGAATGAGTATAGTTAGGATGACGATGTTGATATGGATGGGTGGCAAGGCAAGAAAAGATAAAATTCGGAGTGAATACATCCGAGGGAACTTAGGGGCAGTTCCAATAGGCGATAAGATGAGGAAAAGTAGACTTCAGTGGTCTGGTCATGTGCATACTTGACTTAGAACCACACCAATTAGAAGGGGTAACTTGGTTTAAATGGAAGGCTTTAAAAGGGCAAGGAGAAGGCCCAAAAAGACATGGATGGAAGTAGTGAGAAGAGATATGATGACTTGTGGTCTGATTGAGGGTATGACCTTTGATAGAGCCGAATGGTGGAGTAAGATTCCTGTAGCCGACCTCGAATAGTTGGGATAAGGTTCGGATGATGATGATGATATATTGCTAAAGGAGAATAAATATGAGTGTGACATTTGAATTTCTTGTCATTACTCTTTTTTCCCACTTATTTTTTGACCCCAAATAGTTGGGAATAGGCTCGAATGATGATGATGACATATTTCTAAGGGAGAATAAACATGAGTGTGACATTTGAATTTCTTCTCATTACTCTTTTTTCCCTCTTATTTTCCTAGAATCTCTCTCTCTCTCTCTCTCTCTCTCTCTCTCAATTCCCATGATTAGTAAGGAACATGACTTACGCATGTCTATTAAGAAAATAAAAAGAAGCCATGTTAAAAATCTCTCCCATTTGCTAACAAGTCTAACGCCGAGTCTCATCTCTTTTTCCTTTTTTTTTTTCTTCTTGTAATGATCTTTTTATATTAATAGATGTATAGTTATCGGCCTCCTCATCCCCTCTCCAAAAAAAAAGAAAGAAAAAAAAGCAAGGAAATGAAGTTAGAGAAAAGAAGGAAGGACACATTTTGACTGATAAAGTATATATAGTGTTTAGTTTATCCAAAAAATGAGAGAATTTAAATCATGGAAACTTAGAAAATGTTTTAGATGGATGGCTAGCTTTTATATGCTTTCTTTAATCTAATAAGTATTTCCACCAAAATTGGGACTTCCCCACTAAAATATAAGACAATTCAAAAAAATTTAGAATGAAAATAGGAACATAGTTGAAACTTTAAAAAATAAAACTAAATATAAGAAATTAAATAATTAATTATAAAATTTAATAGGAGACTGGAAAGCTTTATGAGTAACATTGATAGTTTTAAAAATTAAATATAAACTAAAGAGTACTATTCTATTTTTCTTCTAAATATTTTAAAAATTAATTATTCATTGAATTTTGCAATTGAAACATCGTGCAAAGCACATGCAAGTACTTGCTGATATTGAAGTTCATATTATTATTTTTTTTTCATTTTCACCCAATTTCTATTGCAGCTGCATGTGATCAACACAAAATGTGTTAATTGACGGGTACTATTCTAGCATCTGATGCAGGTATAATTTTTTTTTTATCCTGCTTGTGCTAGGAAAAGAACCAAAGCATCTGTATCATAAGCTATCGACTTTCTTAATGGAATTAAAATTGGAGCTTAGCTACGGTTTTATAAAAAAAGTTTGAGGCTTAAGTTTGCTGATTTTGTAGGTTTCTGACCAACTCATCGGCTTCTCTTTATGCTAAACTGTGTTAATTCTCTTGCAAAATTCTTCTAAATGTTTTTTCTGGTTTTAACCTATTGTGTGGTGCCACTTCCAGCTGTTGCTGCATCTGATAGTGTTCTAAAAACATTTTGCAGGTTCCAGTTTTGGCGAAATATCCTGCTGCTTTGTCATTGACAGCATATTCGTACCTTTTTGGTACTATATTGATGATTTTGACGGGATTTTTCGCCACTAATGACTACACAGATTGGATCTTAACTAGGTCTGAGATACTTGCAGTTGTATTTGCTGTAAGTCTGTTTCTGATCAACTGATTATTTTGGTTTTGAGCCTCTACTGTTCTACATTTGGTTTCACCATATTTACATGCACTGAGCTATAAGGAACTTTGCGTGTTTGCCGCATATTATTTCGGTTTATCTTATAAATATTTTGTTTTTGCAGGGAATTGTTGCATCTGCTTTTAACTATGGTCTCCTAACGTGGTGCAATAAGATTGTGGGGGCTACAATGGTGTCTCTTTATAATCCACTTCAACCTGTGACATCTGCCATCTTGTCAAGATTTGTACTTGGAAGTGCTATTTATCTTGGAAGGTCATAGACAAACACTAAACACTGTATATTTCTTACATGCATGTTCACTTCATATGTTCTTGTTTTTACAATTCTGTGTTTGCATAAAGGTTGTCAAAGATGCATCCCACTCATGCTTGAACTTGCACCTCAACACCTAATAGAAAAACGAGATTCAATATTCCTTCCTAATGTTTTGTTATGCTGCCATATCTTCATCCTTTCTGCAAAGAGAATGGTTGATGGTTCGATATGTTCTGAGGACACTGGTGGGATCATACTTTACTTGGGAGGTGATTAGATTCACCTTACACATTAGTCATATATTGGAAATTGTTACTGGCAGATTCGCTCTCCAATGTTAAAAAGACCACAAGGAACTACTCCAATATCGACAAATATA